GCGGCTTAGGGGTGAAATGGAAAGTCCTGGGGACCACCGCCTCTGTCCCGAGAGCGGTTTGGAGCGCGCCCAGAGCCCAGGACGGTGAGGACGCCTTGGCCTCGCCCGGAACTGTTGGGTCGGTTGTGCTGTAACTGCAGGGGCTGCCCCCGGTTGCCGGGCAAGCATGGTTTCATATATCCTAACCCCTCTTCCAAAGCCTCCTCTCCTGCATGAAATCTTCCGGGGGCAGTTTCCTTCTCTCCCGACTTCGCTGAACTCCGTTCATACTGTCTTCACTGTTTGTTTGTTTGTTTTTACTTTGTTGCAGCTTTTTGCCGTTCCTCTCTGCTCGTTTAGTAAGTTGCCAGGCAGATAGTCCTTTTTCTTCTCCTTATCTCAGCCCGGCCTCCGCTCCTGTGAACGGACAGGGAGTGTTTGGCCTCATTTTTGTTTTGAAGCTCTGGGCTACCATTGTTTTCACGGCCCGTCTAGAGGGCTCACAATGTGTAGGGCGTGTATGACACGGCCTCAACCTGACAGGTCAGAACACTGTGCTAGTCGGGTCAAGATTATTGGTTTATTAGTCCCTGGACTTTTCATGCATTCTGTGGCCTCCTCTGTGCTGCTTGCTTCGGTAAGATGTGCACAGATTTCCACGGGGTCAAGTGGCACTGTGCAGGGCGTGAAGGTGCCCTGTCCAATACCCACCCAGAACCATTATGCTGATTTAGTTTGTAACCGTTCTGTGCAGCAGTTGTCCTCATTGACAGTATGTGACTCTTTGTCTTCCTAAAAGAGAGCGACACATTTGTGGACATACCGGAATGGGACTGAGGGTTTTCTGTTATTTTCAAACCATTTGTCAGGCCTCCGCTAGCCTGTCATTCCCTTGACGAGAGCAAGCAGAGTGCTCTGCAGTTGGCTGCTGGTCCAGAGCCTTGTTTCTGTTTTGCAGGACAGAGAGGGATGCTTCAAACTGGTCCACGGATAAGCTGAAAACACTGTTCCTGGCAGTGCGGGTGCAGAATGAGGAAGGCAAGTGTGAGGTGACAGAAGTGAACAAGCTTGATGGAGAGGCGTCCATTAACAATCGCAAAGGCAAACTTATCTTCTTTTATGAGTGGAGCATCAAACTGAACTGGACAGGTGAGTGTGCTGGGCTGCACGGACCTATGTGTTAAGGAGCCAGGCCCAAGGTTTAAGAGGTCATGAACTTTGCAGGGGAGGCGTGCTGCTTCGGTGCCCTGCCCTACAGAAAGCAGTGCGGGATGCTGGGACACCAAGTGGGTTTCCTCACTGGGAGTCTCAAAGAGTCGCCACAGTGAAGCCGCTGTGCACCTATATTTTGAGGGCTTGGGCTGTAGCTCCTTCTGTCACTTGGATGATAGGAAAGTGGGGAGAGGGATTTATTTTTTTTTGGTCTTGCTCTTATTAATTGCCTTCAGTGTGATTCTGGCAGGTTAAACTACTGTGCTGGCGAAGCTCACATGTGACTAATTTGAGGCAGCTTTATCCTCTGTCCCTTCTGTGATACTAGCAAAGAATTGGGACCATGCATATGCCCTACTAGAAGGTCCTTCAGTTGGGAGGCTGAATTTTAAAAGGCCCTAAAGCTAAAGAATTATGTGTAGGAGGCAAATCATAAAGTAAATTTATGCTTCAGTAAATATTTCTCAAATGAATGGTAATAAAGAGGGGGAAAGTAGATGTATCAGGTTTGGGGTTTTTTTGTTTGATTTAACTACTAAAGCATAGTGGTCTAAAAGGAACCTAAGGTATCATCTTGCCCCATCCTCTTTTCATAGATTGAGAAACTGAGGCCTCGTGAAGTGAAAGTAAATAAATGTTTTGAAATACAGTCAGTTCTGCTATAATGTATTCCTAAAAGTCACTGCACTATGCAAAGTTGCTCAATGAAAACCACAGGGCTAATGGAGAAGAGAGGATTAGGCATACAACATGCAAAAATTTCATCAATGACTCGTTTTTGAAAATTTAAGAACAAGCCCTGGCCAGTGTTTGCTAAGTGGTTAGAGCATTGGCCCAGGTAACTGAAGGACCCTGGGGTTCAATTCCCACTCAAGGGCACATATCTAGGTTGCAGGTTCAATCCCGTGCTGCTTGGGGTACTTGTGGGAGACAACCAATCAATTTGCCTCTCTCACATCAATGTTTCTCTCTCTTTTTCTCCTTCCCTCCTCCCCTCCCTTCCTTCCTCTCTAAAAATCAATGGGAAAAATACCTTGGGGTGAGGATTAACAAAAAAGAAATTTTAGGAACGTAAATGTGGATAGCACAGTTTTAAACATGTTAAATTATAAGAAATACATAAATAATACAATAAATATGGTGCTTTACTTGAAAAAGACCTGAAGTTTACTTGTGAAAATGGGCGGCAGAAGAATTGTGGCTTGGGTGTTATTGTGAAGTGGTGGGAGGAGGGTCATCTAAAATCAGAAGGAACTGGATAACACCAGTTGTGAATGGCGTGGCTTATAACGGGCATAGTGCACTGAAGTCACTAGCAAGGAGATGTTTGAGATGTGTTTTGTGTGTTCCTGTGCTGCTCAATTAAATGGTGTGGTTTTTTATGTTCACCTAGTGTTTCTCATAGAGGGAATCACATATGAGCCAATGTGAAATTCATGTTATGATCCAGTGTCCCCTAATGTATCAGTCACATTGGGACAAATTTGTGTTTTCTAACTAAGCATTCTAGCAGAACTGACTGTATTGGCTATTGACGCGAGTCCTCCCTGGCAGAATTTGGCAGTTCTTGGTCCCACATGGTAATAACACACAAGTTCAAGAAATTTGACGAGGAAAGACATTTCTGCTGGGGGAAGAAGGTCAGTTGCATCTGGTGTGTCATGTCACATTTTTCTCAGAGTAAAGAGGGTCAGTTCAATTTTCCAAAAGGAGTGTAAGCAGAGTAGTAGTTAGGGCTGCAGAGCAGATGATGACTTTTCGTGCACAGGAGGCAAGTGACATCGCATTGCTTTTGACAGGTACCTCTAAGTCTGGAGTGCAGTACAAGGGACATGTGGAGATCCCCAATTTGTCTGATGAAAACAGCGTGGATGAAGTAGAGGTTTGTGCTTCCTAACTCCTCATCTGTGCTTCCACATCCTCTTATTCTCAGGAGAAAAACGAGCTGTCACTCAAAAGTAAAGGCCAGCTGGGCCCACACATTCAGAACCCCCGTTTGGGTGACTTTCCAGGTCAGTGGTGCCACTGGCAGCCTCCAGGGCAGCCTGTGCTTCTTTAGCTACTTTGCTTTAGCTGGTGATGTGGGTTCTAACATTGGCCACCTTTGCCCTGGCAGAGAGAGCCTGAGAAGGGACACTCATGGGGACTGTACGAATGCCCCATCCCTCTCCCGTTTCCTTTGGAAACGTCAGTTACCTGATTGCTCAGCACCCCCAGTCCACAGCGCAGGTACCCCTCAAGTGATTTACCACCTACTTCTGATCTTTCACTCAGATTAGTGTGAGCCTTGCCAAAGATGAGCCTGACACAAATCTCGTGGCCTTAATGAAAGAAGAAGGGGTGAAACTTCTCAGAGAAGCAATGGGAATTTACATCAGCACCCTCAAAACAGGTACCCCTGGGGTAGTTACGTACGCCGTGAGGAAGTTTCCACCTGTCAGACTCTGATAAAGGGGCTTGACAGTCTTTTCTTTGGCAAATGGGTAAAGATTTGGGGGGAGGGGCCTTATTTCATCTTGAAGTCAATGAATACACTCTGAGGAAGGAAAGATCTAGAAGTGCATTGTCTAGTATGCTGGCTGTTGAGCAAGTGAAATGTGACTAGTTCAAATAGAGATGTACTTTGAGTATAAAATACAATGGATTGAAGACTTGGTACAAAAAAGAATGTAAAATATCAAATTTTTTATATTGATAATATATTGAAGTGATAGTTTGGGTACATTGGGTTCAATATATTTTAAAATTAATTTTCCTGTTTAAGTTTTTTGTGTGGCTACTAGAAAATTGTAAATTACACCTGAGGCTGGCATTACACTTCTCTTGGACAATGCTGGTGTACAGACTTGCATCCCGAGCCTCGCTGCTTGAGCACAGTCCTGGAGTATCTCTGATATGCATTCTCAAGGGAGCTTTAGGGGGTGACTAGAATACTAGCCAGCTCAGCTCTCCCTAGAATTCCAGCTCTGCCGGTACGGCTTTATCCTGGTGGAGCACAAGTAATGACCATCAGAGGGAACCAGCCTAGAAGGTGGGAAGCTGTGCTCTGATGCCAAACTAGTGGTAGCTGTTCTACCTATGCAGAGTGGAGAAAGGGTAGTAAACACGCATCCTTAGGTATCTTGCCCCACCCTGGAAGTCATTGGAAGTGCAATGGCATTCATTGGCTACCCTCCATTAATAGACTTCACGTACATTTAACAAGTTGTAATGCTTCCAGTTGAGTCAGGGGTTTAAAATAATTCCAGTGAACATGCTACATTATATAACATATACTCAGATACCTGCCTGGCCTAGACCAGGGCTAAAAATGTAAAGTAGATAGACCTGTCCTCATCAGCTCATTCTGGATTAAGATGGCCATATTTGCTAAGCTGCTTGAAACCCCAAATCTCAACTAAGAAGTAATTTTCCAGAGCGGGGTTTTTATCTTTTCAGAGTTCACACAGGGCATGATCTTGCCCACGCTGAATGGAGAGTCAGTAGCCCCAGCTGGTCAGCCAGCACCGAAAACTGATGAGCGCAAGGTAAACGGTTTTCCAACGTGTGTGTGTGTGGGGGGGGAGCAAAGGGTGTTGGGGTACTGCCTCCTCCTAACGCCACATTTCTGCTTCTCTCTGACTAACCTCTAAGCCAGAGCAGCTTGTGGTGCTTTTTTTTTTTTTTTTAATCTTTCTTTTTTGTTTTGTTTTTTGTTTAATGTGGTGCTTTCTAAGAGTCCACAATATGTAGTTGTTTGTCTACCCATCTTTCACCTGGTTTTTATTCGTTTATAACTATTGCTAGAGCAAATGTAAGCCCTTAGGGATTTCAGAGTCTGACCGTTGGTTGCATGTTGTGGACACAGCATGGTCTTCACCCATATACGTCTTCAGTATTATTTCTAACTGGGGTGTTAATATCTCATACTTCGTTATTAGAGGTCTCATTAGGCCACTAACTTCACCTATCAGAAAATTGATTGATTTCACCCCATTGGCAGGGTGAGCAAATATATTTTTTCTGGAAATGGAACTTGCATAATTCAGGCTCAGCACTCAGTTTTCAGCCCTATTACCCTTTGTCAGCACAGTGGGGGATATTTTGGAGATGGGGCGGGGTTGGAGGTACAGTTTTGAGCTATTTAAGCTTAGAAATTCTGTTTGAGAATTACAATGTGCTCTTCAGAAATACTAGTGATTTAACATGTCCTTCTGCTGATGGGTTTTTAAAACAGTAGTGGTCTTCCCTCACCTAAAGTGGTTGTTTTCAGTGGGAACTAAGGATTTTCTGGAAAAGTTCCCCTTGAGACTGAAACACCCATCAAGTTCTCTCCAACCCCTTGGAACAATTAGCCTTGGAGGTGAATAAGTTTGTGAGGATAAATGCAGGTTTGCCCCGGAAGCCATGTTAATTGAGGTTTCACCATTACTCTAACAACTTCATTGTGACTTTCACAGGCTAAATCTGCTCCTTCAAAAACCCAGACCAGACCTGTTGGTGTCAAAATCCCCACTTGTAAGATCACCCTGCGAGACACCTTCCTGACGTCCCCAGAGGAGCTCTACAGAGTGCTCACCACCCAGGAGGTAAGTGTAACCTTTTCCTTGGCCTCGTGGCACCTGCCAGGCCAGGTGACTTGGGTTGTGGGCGCATCCCCATCATCAGAGGAAGTACCGGTGAGTAGAGCCTTGAGGCTTTCCTCTTCCAAGCAGAGGCAAAGGAAAACCCACTTTTGTTCAACCTACTCCTCCAAGTGTGTTTGCCCTCTTTGTTCTCAGATATATTAGTTTGGGGTCCTCTAATTGGAAACCACTAGGAATCATTCTTTTTAGACATTGAGGCTGAAGTAATGCTGTCATGGATTCCCACTCACTCAAGTCAAAGCCTGGTCTGCAATGGAATAGAATAGAACCTGGAACGGTCATTGGGCAAAGTGGTGTCTGGAACGAGCGTTGAGGCATGCACGTGTCGGTTGCCATTTGTTCCTGGATCCCACTGAAAGTCATGCATCTTCTCCCTACTTTGTTTTTTCTACAGCTGGTGCAGGCCTTTACCCATGCTCCTGCGACGCTAGAAGCAGACAAAGGTGGGAAGTTTCACCTGGTAGATGGCAATGTCACTGGGGAATTCACTGATCTGGTGAGTACCTCCTGGCCCAGGCCCAGGATGCAGCCTCTGTCTGATCAGAAGTATATTATTTCTCCTTTTTGCCACTCTGTGGGTAAAATTTAAGGCCTTTATCTCTTTGGTCAGTAATCTCTTTTGTTTTTCAAAATAATGCTGCCATTTCAATTCTCTTGCTTTCCTAGAATTTTTCCTTAAGAGTTAAAATCAGTTCTTTCTAGAACTAATGGAAGAGAGGTTGTATATATTGGTGGCTATGGCTTTCCATTTGCTGCACTGAAATTTCACCTGGGCACAGTTGACCACATCCCACTTAGGATTAAGAGGAGATATTAGGAACTCTGTGGTCCACTTTGCCCTCATAAGTAGTATAATTGCACTGATGGTAGACTCTGTATGTAAGGCAGATAGCTAACCTAGCCAGGCTTGGGCTCATTGGTCTAAAGCAGCAATTTTCAATTGGGCTGTAGCTGCGATTTTCAACTGGTAAGCCACAAGAATTTTCAGAACATACAATATGTACCTGACTATTTCATGAGGGGCACTGACCTCTTTTCCCTTAGATTGTCAGATTTAAAAATGACAACAGCCTGGCTGGTGTGGCTCATTGGTTGAGGATCAACCCAGGAACCAAGAGGTCTCGGTTTGATTTCCAGTTGAGGGATTAATTCCCAGAAGGGTACACACAGGAGGATCAATGATGTTTTGCTCATCAGTGTTACTATCTATCACTCTCCTTCCCTCTCTTTTAAAAATTCCTAAAGTTAAATAAGCAAGCATATTTGTGCTTTTTGTTTTGTTTTATCTTAATATATTTTTATTGATTTCAGAGAGGGAGAGAGAGATAGAACATCAATGATGGGAGATAATCATTGATCAGCTGCCTCCTGTGCGCCCCTTACTGGGATTGAGCCTGCAACCCAGGCATGTGCCCACCTGGGCATCGAACTGTGACCTCCTGGTTCATAGGTCGGTGCTCAACCACTGAGCAACACCAGCTGGACAGTAAGCATATCTGTTTACTGTCATTAACCCCAGGATTTTTATTTAATTTTTATTTTCGCCTTAATCTCAAACCCAGGTGGAAAACCGGGTTTTGAACCCTCCCTTCCTCTGTCTTTCTCCAGGGCACTTTGCCACCATCACGTTGACCTTCAATGATAAGAATGGAGAGACTGAACTGTGCATGGAAGGCCGAGGTATCCCTGCTCCCGAGGAGGAGAGGACACGGCAGGGCTGGCAGCGCTACTACTTCGAGGGCATCAAACAGACCTTTGGCTATGGTGCACGCTTATTTTAGAGCCAGCAGCGGGAGCTCCAGCCTGCCCGTCACTTCAGTCCAGCCCTCTCCTGACTGAGGCTTGACTCACAGGATTGCACCATCCCAACCACTAACTTGGGGCCGGGGCCCTTTCCCTTGCGTATACCTTGGGTTTGTGCATGTTTTCTGCTGGGAGGGATCAGAGGGCAATTTCTCTTTTATGTGTACATATGCTAAATAAACATAATTTAAAAAATGTGCACATCTGGAACCTGTGTTGATTGGGTGGCTGGTACTAAGAGTTCCCTTGATGGTTTTGAATTTTTAAAAAAACGAGGGCGGGAATGAGGCCTTGCCTCCATTCTGGAAAAATGTATGTGATTAAGAGGCATGAGGGGACTCGCCTGTCTCCAAGCACTCCTGCGCTGGCCTCATACAGCAGGCTGGCAGATGGGTCTGCTCCTCTCACTGAGGGAAAGGCAAGGCGGGTTGGCTCTGGCATAAACAGCCAGCAAACCACTGGTGGAGGTGGCATCCTTTGCTTTCCACTCTCCATGGCCTCTTAACCTCTTAAGAGAATAGGTGATCACCAGGTACTGATTTGAGATATGGGGAGACATTCCCACCCTGTGGCAGAGAACTATAGGCCCTGGGTTAACAGCTTCTGTTTATTGAGCAGTTACTATGCACCAGACACTACCCTGAGTAGCTTCTTGGTATTAGCTCATTTATTCCCGTAAGAGCCCTATGAAATAAATGCTACCATTATTTCTGTTTTACAAGAACCCAACCCTTGGATTTCTTAGGTAACATCCAAGAACCAACTGATACTTAGCAGAGCCGGGATTTGGAAGAGGGACCATAACCACAGAGCCAGGACTCAAGTCTAAACCACTGTCTACCGCCTTGTCATTGGACTCCCTTCCACAAAGCAGCAGCTGTGTTGCTAGTATGTTAGGCATCCCTCCTGGAGTAGAAAATTCCAGGCCTCCATACTCCGAGAAAGAGGAAGAAGTGAATGCTCTTGTTGCATTAAACAAGCTTCCTGAGCACTGACCAAGTGCTGAGGATTTGGTCTAGTGGGGCTCACCCTGCCATGTTGCAGGAGAGGTATAGCTATCTGGACAGGAGGGTCACTTCCCCTGCCCTGGCGTCCTGCCCCCCAGGATGAGTCAATGCCTGCTCACCGGGACACTACCTCCTGCAGCTACAACTATTTTCCTCCTATTTTTGCCCGTTTTATTAGGGGGCAGGCCTGCAGGTTAATGCTACCAAAATGACTTGGCCACAATATTGTAGTTAAAGCAGAAAATGAGCACTGATCGGGATAATTTTGACCCCCAAAAGCCACCTGTGTCTTGAATTACTCAAAGGGTACGGGACTGAACTAATACACATCTAATTCTGTATTATATCTGCTTCCTGAGGCTCCAAAAAGACGTATTTTGATAAAAAGCCTGGACTCCAGCTTAAATCAACAGGCCTCTCCTAATACAGACTCCACTCCAGCAGAGACCAGTGTCAAAAAGGAGCCCTTTCACGCCTGGCTGGAGAGTAACCAATTAAGAAAATAGTACTCACAACAAGTCCCAAGGTAAAGTCTACAGACACCTTAAAGCAAACCAAAGCACTAAGCCAAGTATCTGTTACATGACATACACATGAGCATGTCACATCCCCAGTACTGATGGCTGCTCCAATGTTTTCCACAACCATTTGACTGACAGCATTTGTTAGCCATCTGAGCCCACAAAGCAGAATGATGTATCTAAAAACAAAACTGTGAACTTGGTTTGGCTTGGGTTTGAATTGTAAATATGCCACTTCCTGGGACAAATGTCCTCATCTGTATAATGGGTATAACAAGTGACTTAGAGAATTAGAGATGATGGACCTAGAAATGCTGGCAGCTGGCAGCCTTCAGCAAATGGTATCTGCTAATTCCGTACTCATGAGCCCACATGTTTTTTCTGGAGCAAGAATTAATATTTTGAGAAGTTGGTTAATTGGCCAAATTGTAAATCATAGACCAAGGAGTCTCCTCACCTAAGAACCATCTGTTGAATGCAGAAAAGTGGACCCCACCACTAGAGATTCTTACTCAGTGGGTGTGGCCCATGAACTTGCATTTGATAGGTATCTCAGGTGATTTCCATATCAGGAATTCATTTTGAGAAGTGCTTCAATGTGTTAAGAAAATCTTGTGCTGAAACCAGTTTGGCTCAGTGGATAGAGCGTCGGCCTGCGGACTGAAGGGTCCCGGGGTCGATTCCGGTCAGGGGCATGTACCTGGGTTGCGGGCACTTCCCCATTGGGGCATGTGCGGGAGGCAGCTGATCGATGTTTCTCTCTCATCGATGTTTCTGGCTCTCTGTCTCTCTCCCTTCCTCTCTGTTAAAAATCAATAAAATATATTTAAAAAAAAAAAATCTTGTAATGGCCGAGCCAAAGAAGCATACTTAGGTCCCTTTTGTGGGTAACGGGACAAAGGATCTGAAACACCGTATCTTCCAAGAGACAAGGGAGGTCAGCAGGATCCAACAGTCTTTGTATTGCTGGTTAAACCCTAGTAAGAATTCAATTTGAGCCCGAACCAGTGTGGCTCAGTTGGTTGGGCATCCTCCCATGTACAGGGAGGTTGTGGAGGTTGCAGGTTCAATCCCTGGTGGAGGGTGTACAGAAGGCAGCTGATTGATCTTAACTCTCACATCAGTGTTTCTCTCTCCCTTCCTCTCTCTAAAAAAAATCAACTATTCTTTTTAAAAAAAGAATTCAATTGGACCTGTCTTGCCTAAACTAGGATCCCAGATGAGAAAAACCAGAGGGGAAAATTGGGCAAAACCATCGAGGTGGCTGGAGCAGCTAAGTTGGAAACTAGTGGTGGTCATAAGCCATGCATGGCCAAGGTGACTCCTGGCATTTGGAGCAGGAGGAACAGCCAATGACAGCAGTGAGGTGACTGACAGTGGACAGGAGTGCGGGGAGGGGTCCTCTGATTTCCTGGGCCCCTCCTGGCTCTGATATTAGCCGCTACCAAGCTTCCCCCTTTCACAAGTGCTGTGCAACCTCCATCACAGTGTCTCCTCACACAGGTGTTCCCCCGCCTGCAGCTATCTGCAGTGTCTCTTTCTCCTCTGTAGAGCTTGAATACACATCATTTTGTAGGTGACCTACTCCCCAATGCCTTTTTCTTAGTTTCTCTCATCTGTGCCTGACATGGTAGCAATTTAGCATGTCACTGAGATTACAGATTAAAAATGGGACTAAGTACTGTTTGGGTAATAAACAACCATTAGGTATAGATCAACTTTAGAAAGCAGCCCTAGCTGGCTTGGCTCAGTGGACAGAGCGTACGTAGGTAGGCCTGTGGACTGAAGAGTCCTGGGTTCGATTCCAGTCAAGGGTACATGCCCGGGTTGTGGGCTCGTTCCCCAGTAGGGGGCATGCAAGAGGCAGCGATCAATGATTCTCTCTCACTGGTGTTTCTGACTCCCTTTCCCCTCCGCTCTAAAATAAAAAAATATATTTTTAAAAATTTATACAGCAGTGTGTGTCAAGGTAAGTTACATTAGAAAGGAGGAGAATTTGCAGTTTTCTGTGAAAACAGACTCTGGGATGTCTCTAATTTTTTAAGTTTTTCCAAAAAAAATAATTAAAACATGTCCTTGCTAATTAATTGTATTGGGTTTTACAGATGAGACAGTAAACTTGGCTTCCATCTGGTGACCTGAGATCCTGCCCTTTCTGACCCTGTAATATTCTAATTGCACTGGAGTATTTTTAGACTGTGGTCCAGGACCAAACTAATAAACTCACCTCAAGCTGTGATGCTAATCAGAAACATGTGGCTCTCTGGGCTTCTCCAAGTGGCAGCTTGGAAACACCTTGCCTCATTCTACTTTCTGTTTCCTTGTGGAAAAGCCTTCCCAAAGGCCAGGGGTGACAGCAGAGTGTCTGGTAAGGGTGCCAACTAAGGCAGGGGCCAGGTCCATCTCTGCCATCCTATAGGTATAGTCCTTGGGCAACTCTCTGCTGGATTCCCTTGCAGCAAGTTACCTGGGGAAGTGGGGCCACTTCCTCCGGAGTAAATGCAATTTACCTCTTTGACCAAAAAACTTAGAGTGAATGTGCTTCCCAGGCAGCCCTTTGCAAGTGTGAGTTTGGTCAAATCCCTGCACCCAGGAGCTCGGCCTGCCCAGCTGGGTGAGGCAGTCACAAATGAAACCCGAAACACGAAACCCATGGGAGCGGGGAGCTCGGTGTGGGCTGTAAGCAAAGGCTTCCGACCCACGCTGCTCTGCTGGGCCACAAATTCCTCAGACGGACAGAACTGGAACGTAAAGTGCTTTATTGCCGAGGATCCCGAGAGCTTTGAGGCCGCTGTCTAGGGGCTGGCAGTGAAATCCCCTACCCTGCGGAGGCTTTTGTGAGTAGGGACGGCCGGGACTTCAGCATTTCAGCCCCATGGAAGGCATGGCAGTGTGGTTGGGGGTGAGGGGAGGTAAGAAGAGGCACGGGTGTGCGGGGGGAGCAGACTGTGCTTGTCTCCCCAACTCTGAGCTCAGTGCATTCAACGACATCACCATGGGAGCCTGGAATGGGCCATGGTGGGAGTATTTACACCACAGAAATTGCCCAAATGCTACATTCAAGGATTCCCCAACTCCCTGCCCGGAGAACTGGTTTACCAGGGCACCAGGAGCATGCCGCCCCTCCTGAGCTGGTTCTGAGTCCACCCCAAGCCTGGCTGCTGTGACAAGCTGCCACTCCCCCATGTGGGGCAGTGCCATCTCCCACTACCTGCACAGAACACAGGTGGGCTGGACAAAGGGGACCTGACCTGGGGATCCTGTCCCTGCCTGGAGCCCGTCCTGGCTTGGCCGCCTCAGCCTGCCTGTCCACTGAGAGCTTCAGCCCCGGACTGAAGTGGTGTCCGCCGAAAGGCAGCTCGGAGCTGAGGATAAGACCCTTTTGCTCAGTGGCTCCCAGCAGGCAAGAGGGCCACATGCAGCCACTCAGAGGTAATGAGAGCTGGTCACCCAGGGCTGACCAAGGGCAGCTGTGGGGGCTAAGATGAAAGGACTGGCCCTCGGGGCTGGGGGGTTTGAGTGATTCACCGCAGGCCCTGGGAACCAGGCTGTGTGGAGAGTGGAGAGCCTGGCGCACACCTGTGTGCAGAACCAGGGCAGGAGAGCCCAGCTCCCGGGTCGGGGAGGGAAATGAGTGGCCAGGGTGGGACAGCACCTCTTAGCAGGCAGGA